CCATCGCCCAGATGTCCACGATTACAAACAACAATCCCCAATCAATGGATTATTCGAAACTTCTAAAACCTACCACCATTAGTGCTCCCATGCAAACCCTAGCTACGCTACCATTGAAACCTGTTGAGTTCCTGCATGGAGAAATAGTTGTGAAGTGGAAGAAACAAGAAGTTAAATAATCCATCATACAACAAGGACTTCAACTTGCAGTTCTTGGGAAATTTTTATATAGAAAGCCTGTTATTGGTGAATTACGTAAAGTGATTCCAATTCAATGTGAGATTAATGGTCAATGCTCAGTAGGTATGATTGAAGATAATCATGTGTTGATTAGATTGTCATTATTGGAGGATTATGTTCATCTTCTCTCAAAGCCAGCTTTTTATTTAAAGGCTCAATCAAACATGTGGCAGATGCGTTGTACATAATGGAATCTATGGTGGACACCTGATGAAGAGACTCCAATTGCCATAGCGTGAATTAGTTTTCCAGAACTTCCTCCAAATTTCTTTGGTAAGGAATGTGTATTTTCATTAGCTCGTGCAATTGGTAATCCATTACATGTAGACCTAGCAACTCAAAATGGGACTAAACCTCGTTGTGCTAAGGTAAAGGTGGAAGTGAAATTGCTAGGTAATTTCCCTAAACGAAATAAGATTGTTGAAGAAGCTGATGAATCTGGGCTAGAAGAGTTCAAATGGATTAGGATTAAGTATGATTATATCCCTAAATATTGCAAGCCTTGCAAGAAACAATGGCATAGTGAGGCAAAATGTTGGGTAATTTATCCTTTGCTACACAAGAGATTTGACGAAGATGTTGAGGATCAAGGCAAGGAGAAGACAGTTGTGGTGAGCACCGAAGCAATTGGTACAGCTGCAAATTCAACAAAGGTTCTGTCAAGTGGAAAGGTGGTTGGTAAGCCTGCTACTAATCATGCCAAGCAGGAATGGATACAAGCAAGGAAGAACAAATATCAACGGGATAATAGGGGTCACATTGTTGATAACAAACAAGGTAAGGAAGCTGATAAGGGTAAAGGGAAGGCCAAACTTGAGGAAGTAGCAACGAAGAACAAGTTTAATGCATTAGAGGTTGAGGAAGGTCATCAACCTATTCTACAAATTACTGAAGGAAAAGGTGAGGATCATAGCAATGGTAAGGAGAAGGAACATGGGGAAAATCAATCAAAGAAGGGCTGTGAGAAGGAAAAAGAAGGCACTACTGGAGCTTCAAGCCCTAATCCTACTAATACTAAACCAGCGGGAGGAAGTCATCAACAAGAACTTACGCGTGTGAAGAAGGAAGAAGTGAAGAAAGTGTTGGAAGATCATCATAATGGAAACTTAGCTAAGGCTAATCCTATTGTTACTAGTGATCAAAGTACTGACGAAAACGCTAATAAGGAATCTACTATCAACTGGGTTAATAGAAGGTTTCGAACTAGCAAAGAGGAGCTAAGTCAACTCAATGTGACCGCAAACCAATTATGTCAAGAAATGTCGTCTCAAACATTTGAAGATTCTGGGCAGCTTGAGAACTATGATGAGATAAAATCAACAAAGGCTATAGGGAGTGATGCAATTGAGGTAGAGGATGATCAAATAGGCAAGACCAATACAATAGGAGACAAAGTGAGGGACAACAGCCCATCTGGTGATAGGCTGGCAATGCCATGCCTAAAGCCATGCTCCCCAGGCGTTAGGCTGGCGACGCTAGGCCTGGCGCCAGGGTCCCTGATGAAGCAACGATAGTTAATCCTGTCCCTAGTGCAACTGGCAAGATTCTAGCATATGTAGATGTTGTTCCGGTGTATGCATTGGAGAACAAACTTGATGATAATGTGAAGGTTAGGGATGATACAGTAGGATCGGAGAATAATAGTGAAAAGAATGATGAGAGCATCTGGGGAAATAGAGGAAGTGCCTATGTATATGGCAGTGATCAAATTATGCAGTTGCAGCTTAATGTTCCACTGAAGACTCCACTACAAGATCTACATGATTTAGTCACACACAATGTGGCACCAATTGATGAAGACTTAATGAGACAAAATCCTATGGAGGATAAGGGAAATGATGAATCAACAAAAGAAAACTTCAAATAGGTGGCTAGGGATGGGGATCTATCACCTAAAACTAGTGCTAAAGGAGGCAAGAAAAAAAAGAAGAATCAGAATAAAGAGTCACAGCAACCTTTAAGAATTTTGCCCAGGAGGGCAGCTTCTCTATCTAAATGATGATCAAGACATTAATATGGAATATAAGGTCTGTGAATACACAGCAGCCCTTTCCTAGGGTAATCAACATGAATAGGGAGCATAAATTTTGTGTAGTTGCATTGATGGAACCTTTTGAAAAGAAGAGATTCATTGATAGATATAGAAGAAGGTTGAATATGGAGACGACTTATGCAAATATAAATGGGAAAATATGGTTGTTGTTTGATGCAGTGGTGGAATGGGAATTAGTGGACGATACTGAGCAACAGGTGACTGTGAGAGTGCTTCACCATGACCTAGAGCAGCACATGATGATGAAATTTGTTTATGTAAAATGTTCAGCAATTGAGAGGTTGGAATTGTGGGATCACTGGTATTACTTAGCAAGTGATATGAAATTGCCATGGTTGGTAGGAATGGATTTCAATGTGATATTACATGAAGATGAGAAAATAGGAGGACTACCGGTACACCCGCCTGAATACGGGGATTTTGCCTTTTGTGTAAATTCTTGTGGTTTGTTTGAGCAAGGATACAAAGGAAGTCCATTTACATGGTGGAATGGGAGATCCAATGCTGCGTGTATATTGCAAAAATGGATTGGATAGGATATTTGTGAATTTTCCATTTCAGAACATGTTGCCAACTATTGAAGTTGAACGTCTAATTAGAATTGGATCAGACCATGCACCATTGTTAATGACATGTGGGGAGCAGACCACCAATTGTCAAGCCTTTCAGGTTCTTGAACTTTTGGGCTAAACATACTACATTTATGGATGTGGTTAGGCAGAATTGGGAAGCTGATTTCGTAGGGGACCCGTTTTTGATGTTCAAGCAGAAGCTCAAGAGGGTGAATGAAGCACTGTCAAAATAGAGTAGGGAAATATTTGGTGATATCTTCAAGCAATTGGCTATTTTGGAGGACATTCTTAGGGTAAAAGAGATGTTGTTTGAAAAAAAGCCTTCAATTGAAAACATGATTGTGCTTCAAAAGGCACAATCTGAATTGAAGAAATACTTGAGTATTGAGGACCAGTATTTGAAGAAAAAAGCTGGGATGACTTGGTCTGCTGAAGGAGATAGGAATACAAGTTTCTTTCACAATCATGTCAATGGCAAAAGATAGAAATTACAACTGAAGAGGATTAAAACAGGAAGTGGGGTATGGATTGAAGACAAGGAGCAATTGGATACAGCTGCAGTGGACTTTTATCAAGAACAATTCAAAAATGAAGGTGATGCATCTGACTTTTCCTTGCTCAATAATGTACCTTCAATGGTTACTATGGAACAAAATTTGGAACTTAGCAGATTGCCAATAGTTGAAGAGGTAAGGACAGCAGTTTTTGAGCTTAGTGGGGAGAGTGCTGGTGGTCTAGATGGATTCACTGGCCTGTTTTATCAAACATGTTGGGATGTTATTGGTGCTGATATACACAACATGGTGCTATACTTCTATGGAGGAGCTGCACTGCCTAAATCCATCACTCACACCAATCTAATGTTGCTGCCTAAGAAACCTAGAGTGGAGACCTTTTCTGACTTAAGACCTATTAGCTTGAGCAACTTCATTAACAAGGTCTTGTCTAGAGTGTTACATGATAGATTGGAATTTTTTTTCTTCTCTAATATCTCCTAATCAATCCGGATTTGTGAAGGGTAGGAGTATATTTGAGAACATTTTATTAACTCAAGAAATTGTCACCGACATAAGGTTAAGGGGAAAGCCGGCTAATGTGGTGATCAAGCTTGATATGGCTAAGGCTTATGATAGGGTTTCATGGAAGTACTTATTTCATGTACTAAGAAAGATGGGATTTTCTTAGCCTTCATCAACATGGTGTGGAACTTGATGTCAAATAAATGGTACTCAGTATTGGTGAACGGGCAGTCATCAGGGTTCTTTAAGTCTACAAGGGGTGTGAAGCAAGGGGATCCTCTATCACTAGCATTGTTCATTCTTTCAGCTATGGTACTTTCCAGGTCTTTGAATAAGCTATTTGAAGACAAGTCATTTGTGAGATTTGGAATGCCTAAGTGGTCTGATCCTATAAACTACTTGGCATATGCTGATGATACTATAATCTTTGCTTCTACTCATCCTTCATCCTTGAGCAAGATTATGGTAGTGTTGGGGAACTATGAGAAGATATCAGGCCAGATGATCAACAAAGATAAGATCTCATACTACATGTATTCAGGGATTTCTAATGGATTGTGTCAGGCAGTTGAAGCTATTACAGGACTTGCAAAAGATAAATTCCCCTTCACATATCTATGGCGTCCTGTTTTCTACACTATAAGGAGGAAAGAATATTATGAGGATCTTATCAAGAAAGTAAAATCTAAATTGCATTCATGGAAAGGAAAGTTGTTGTCATATAGAGGAAAGTTGTTGTCATTTAGAGGAAAGGCAACACACATTACTAGCGTGTTGCAAAGTATGCCAGTCCACATGTTATCAGTCATGCATCTACCAAAAAATGTCCTGGAGCATCTTCATAAGATTTTTGCTAGATTCTTTTGGATCACAAAGGAAGAAGGGAGAAGCAGACATTGGGCCTCATGGCAAAATCTTTGCCTTCCTGAAGAGGAAGGGGGCTTAGGTTTTAGGTCCTTACATGATGTGTCGAGGGCATTGTTTGCTAAACTACGGTGGAGGTTTAGGACCACAAAATCTTTGTGGTCTAATTTCATGTGGAATAAGTAATTCAAGAAGGAGATACCAACGGTGGTGCCGTTTAGAAGGGGTCTATGTTTGTAGAACAATGCTGAATGCTAGGGAAGAAGTAGAACATGAGATCCTATGCGAATTGAAGAGCGGAACAACAAATATTTGGCATGAAAATTGGAATGGATAGGGTGCACTTTATCATGTATTACCTTAAGACTTTCCAATAAATAAAGACCTTCAGGATGTGGCAGAATTACGGTAAGGTGAAATATGGGATGATCAGCTGCTAGATCAAACCTTCAATGAGGAAATTGCAGAACATATGAGGCTAAAGGTACATTATGAAGGCAGTGAGGGATACTGGGATAGTCCATACTGGATGCCAACTCCTTCAAGCAAGTTCCGTGCTAGCAGTGCTTGGAAGATATTAAGGCATAGAGCTGATCCTAATCAGGAATTCAAGTTAATATGGATTAAAGGCTTACGATTTAAGATATCCTTCTTCTTGTGGAGATTGTGGAGGAATAAAATAGCCACTGATGACATATGGAAGAGGCAAGGGAAAATGGTGATGTCTAGGTTTTGGTGTTGTCAGCATCCCCAAGAGGAATCTATTGAGCACATATTTATCACAAGTCCTACTGCCTCTAAAGTATGTGACTTGTTCATGGGGGCTGCTGGAATTACTGTGCCATTGATTCAATTGAAGCAGGTTATAAGGCATTGGTGGTATGCTCAATGTTGTTAGAAACTAAAGCCATTGTTTCAAGCAGTACCGGCTATCATCACTTGGGAACTTTGGAAGAGATGAAATGCAGGTAAGCATGGGGGTTCAGTGTCGACAAATAGGGTGATTCATGAGATCTATAGGACATTGCATCAACTGGAAAGAGTGAGGTATGCTTGGATGCCTAATATTCCATTGTTATGGCTAGACATAATTCAATATATTGAAGGATATAAACCTATATTTATCACTACAAGAGTAACATGGAAACTTCCTTTTCATGGTTGGTACAAATGCAATACTGATGGAGATTCAAAAGGAAATCCCGGTCCTAGCTCATTAGGCTTTTGTGTGAGGAATAATGAAGGTGATGTGGTGTATGCAAGGGCAGTAGATCTATGAGTGACAACTAATGTGCTGGCTGAAGCAACGACTATTCTTCAAGGATTGGAATACTATGTGGAGCACGATCTTCACCCTATCATATTGGAGACTGACTCATTAGTGATGAAGAAAGTGATAGAAGGGGAATGGGATCCTCCTTGGCTAATTGCAAATGATGTGAAGAAAATTAGAGAGATGACAGGCAACTTCAATGTGATCTTTCAACATGTGTTCAGATAAGGCAACTCAGTGGCCGATTTTATAGCTAACATTGTTTTCTCTTTTGCAGGTACATCTGAGTTTCACTCATTCAGTGAACTGCCTAGTGCAGGGAGGAGGTTGATTAATTTAGACAAGTCTCAAACTCCTAACCTTAGGGTTAGAATAGCAAAAAGAAGAGCCCCATACTGATGGCTTCATAGGATTGGAATTTGCACATACCTGCTTGTGTCTTTTATGTCTCATTCTGGATGCTATTAAGGTACATTCCAGTGGTATTAGCATGGTCACATGCTCATTCTGGGGGTGCTTTGATAGTGTACAGGACCAATGTGATAAGCAGGTATTGGACGGTGCAATTTATTCTACTTCTGATATGTTCAAATACTAAGGAAAAGGTTGAATCTGTTATGTGGAAATTTTGGAGATTGTTGAATTATCTCTCAGTGGTATTGGCATGTTATCATGCTCAATCTGAGGATGGTTAGCAATGTTTAGAATGGTTTATCCATTAAAGGTTTGGGAAGAGAAGGATCTGAGCTTACAAGAACATAAAATCACCTTGCTCTGGTGTCGCAAGCTTAAAGCCAGCCCTAGCCTGGCTTTTGCCTTGCAAAGCCTGATTAAAGCCAGCCCCAGCCTGGCTCTTGCCTTGCAAAGCCTGCCTAAAGCTAGCCCCAGCCTAGCTTTTGCCTTGCAAAGCCTGCTTAAAGCCAGCCCCAGCCTGGCTTTTGCCTTGCCAAGGCTGCTTAAAGCCAGCCCCAGCCTGACTTTTGCTCCTAAAGCTAGCCCCAGCCTGGCTTTCGCCTTGCAAAGCCTGCATAAAGCCAGCCCCAGCCTGACTTTTGTCTTGAAAAGCCTGCTTAAAGCCAGCCCCAGCCTGGCTTTTGCCTTGAAAAGCCTTCTTAAAGCCAGCCCTGGCCTGGCTTTTGCCTTAAAAAGCCTGCCTAAAGCCATCATCAATATAAGTCTAGCCATGCTTTTTTACATAATAATATTGAGGATCGACTACATGATTTATACTATGATAGACTCAGTACAATGCATATGGAGATCATATTGTATCAACACTAATGATTGGAAGACTATGCTAGCTTCAATTCTGTGGTGGAGATGTTTGGAATTCATTCTAGCCTATAGACTGGATACACTGGCGCCTGGTGAGAGCTTGATAGGTGCTGCTTGGTATTTGCCACTGGCAGTTGGATTCACATACACTGACAGGAGAAGGAAGCATTCCGCGGAAAATGCTGTAATAACTAGTTCATTAGACTTTAGCTTTCCTATCTTTTTAATAGCTAGTAGCTTCATGCAACTTCTATTTTGGTTTGGACATCTTGTAAGCTTTGGACGCATTTTGGGGTTTTATTTATATATTAGCCACTAGGAAGCATGCCTAGTGGTATATTTGCTAAAAGAACAAGTGATAAAACAGTGAGTAAAAAAATGATAGAAAAGTAAACAACCCCTCGGGCAAAAACAAGTACCATAAACTGCCCCTCGGACATAATATCAACAGAACCTGCCCCTCGGGCTACCTCACAGTCACTCGTAATCAGCCCCTTGGGCATAACAGGAATAAAGAACCGCTCCTCGGGAAAAACATGGATAAAGAACAGCCCTACGGGTAAAACATGGATCAAGAACAGCCCCTCGGGCAACATATCATATCATAACCAGCCCCTCGGGCTAACATCATATCACTCATTCAGGGTACCCGCGGTCACTGGGGGTGTACAGACTTCGGAGGGGCTCCTACAGCCCAAGCGCTATAACAAGCCATCTTGTGCCATAATAAATCAGGCCCTCGGCCTCATAACAACAAGCCACCTCGTGGCATAAATCAATCTAGGCCCTCGGCCTCACAATA